TGGTCAAACATGTCATCGACTTCGTGCCCCTCGATAAACCTAGTGCGTACCCGGACGAGGTCACAAGATTTTTCGAGTTATGTAGATTACCTCGATGCAAGTCTGATCTTGAAATCCAAAGGTACTTCATATATTCATGTATCTTGAAACTTTTTATGTAATTTGCTCAGCAAATGGAAATTGAAAGAGTTCACACACACACAGGCAGTTTGAAAAGGTCTGCATTATGTGTTGCAGTGATTAGGGAGAGGATTCCTTCTAAAAAATTATTATAGTCCTGCAAAGAACAGACTTCCTGATTGTCCTTGAAAAATTTGGTGAAATGAGAGATAACCAGATTCTCCAACTCCTCATGCTTATCCATCAATTGATTATTAGTATCTAGAAGGCTGTTGATTCCCTGCTGTCTCCTCCTTTCTTTCACAAGACTGAAAAAATGTGGTATTTGCATCTCCTTTAAGCCACTAAACATTTCCTTTCTGCGTCCAATATGCCTATTCCATATTCGTAACTCTTGTCAACTGTGCCTTCTTAAGATTGAAAATTTCTCTGTTTACTTCAGTAGCATCTCCCTCAAAATTTTGCTCAGCAGTATATGCTTCCTCCTCAGCTTCTTTAACAAGAGAGAAGACATTACCAAAGGATTCTTTGTTCCATTTGGTCAAGTCTTCTTTTCAGTGCTTTAGTTTGTTGAAAAGACATTGTATACCCCCCATAGAAGGGAATTTCACTCCAGCTTTTCTCACAGATTACCATTAAATCTTTATGGAGAGTCCACATATGTTCTTTTTTACTAAATCATATTGTGTAATCTTGTAGGACACTCTCGTATTGCATCTGCAAGAATCCTATCATTTTTTATTTGAGTGACGGAATCGACTTTTGCTGGAAAGCTTCAAACTTGGACGGAATGTGCTCCTTTAGCACACTTTACCACACTTATCAGGCCTTCCGAGATCTTCTTCACCCATTGCGGGATTTCTGTCATTGTATAAGCAAAGATTCCGAGCCGTTTTACGAAGTTAGGATGTATAATTGCCCGATGAAATCCGAGAGCTTTGTACCCCAAGAATACTACTTCCCATTTACCGTAGTGAGACTGTTCGGAAACTGCATGAGACATATCCAAAACAGATGTCCTCACTACACCCATGCCGATATTATGCGATGCCTCATATATCTGATCCCCGGGATTGTATCGGTTCTTTATGCCTTAGCCGCTAAAAAAGCGGGTGTAGTGAGGACATCTGTTTTGGATATGTCTCATGCAGTTTCCGAACAGTCTCACTACGGTAAATGGGAAGTAGTATTCTTGGGGTACAAAGCTCTCGGATTTCATCGGGCAATTATACATCCTAACTTCGTAAAACGGCTCGGAATCTTTGCTTATACAATGACAGAAATCCCGCAATGGGTGAAGAAGATCTCGGAAGGCCTGATAAGTGTGGTAAAGTGTGCTAAAGGAGCACATTCCGTCCAAGTTTGAAGCTTTCCAGCAAAAGTCGATTCCGTCACTCAAATAAAAAATGATAGGATTCTTGCAGATGCAATACGAGAGTGTCCTACAAGATTACACAATATGATTTAGTAAAAAAGAACATATGTGGACTCTCCATAAAGATTTAATGGTAATCTGTGAGAAAAGCTGGAGTGAAATTCCCTTCTATGGGGGGTATACAATGTCTTTTCAACAAACTAAAGCACTGAAAAGAAGACTTGACCAAATGGAACAAAGAATCCTTTGGTAATGTCTTCTCTCTTGTTAAAGAAGCTGAGGAGGAAGCATATACTGCTGAGCAAAATTTTGAGGGAGATGCTACTGAAGTAAACAGAGAAATTTTCAATCTTAAGAAGGCACAGTTGACAAGAGTTACGAATATGGAATAGGCATATTGGACGCAGAAAGGAAATGTTTAGTGGCTTAAAGGAGATGCAAATACCACATTTTTTCAGTCTTGTGAAAGAAAGGAGGAGACAGCAGGGAATCAACAGCCTTCTAGATACTAATAATCAATTGATGGATAAGCATGAGGAGTTGGAGAATCTGGTTATCTCTCATTTCACCAAATTTTTCAAGGACAATCAGGAAGTCTGTTCTTTGCAGGACTATAATAATTTTTTAGAAGGAATCCTCTCCCTAATCACTGCAACACATAATGCAGACCTTTTCAAACTGCCTGTGTGTGTGTGAACTCTTTCAATTTCCATTTGCTGAGCAAATTACATAAAAAGTTTCAAGATACATGAATATATGAAGTACCTTTGGATTTCAAGATCAGACTTGCATCGAGGTAATCTACATAACTCGAAAAATCTTGTGACCTCGTCCGGGTACGCACTAGGTTTATCGAGGGGCACGAAGTCGATGACATGTTTGACCA